GCACTTGCCCAGGCATGCCCCCCTCTCCTCCGCCCCTGGCAGAGATGATGCGGTGATGATGAAGAAGAAGAAGGAAGACTGGCCGGTGATGATGATGGAGTCTCTGCTGCGGTGATGGTGTTTTGCAGGTGATGATGATTGGAATCCTCGGTTAGGGCAAGAATGAATACTGTATTAAGTGGGAATGAGTACAACTAGTTTTTAGCATGTGTATTCGGTTATTTGTAAATTAATATTACACAAATGTGTAAAAATGAGTACTTCTTTATTTTAAAATGAGTATTACTTTTGTCAGAATGAGTACTACGTATTTCGAAATGAATATTTATATTTGTACGAAAATAAGTACTACTTTATTTTAGAATGAGTACTACCGGGATGTACCTATTTCTAGGTACATCCGGATGTACCATATACCAACTCATCTATCTATTACTCATCGCACTGAGCCTCTTTGAATCGCACTTCTCGGGTGAATAGGGTTTGAAAAAAAAAGTATATAAAAAATATTATACGGAGTATTATGTACCCCGGAGTAATAAATTTAACAATTCCTCTCCATTTTATAGCAAAGTTGTTATTTTAAGAAATACAATTATTATTATTTAAGTTTACTCTTTTGGGTTCTAACTCTTAATTTTCAACATTTTTAATTTTCTTTCAGTTTGTTCTAACTTTTTCTAATTTGTTCCGAAATCTTCTAGTTCTTTCTAATTTATCCCGTTTCTTTTAATTCTTTCTAGTTTTTTTCAACAATGACTAAAAAACTATATTTTCCATGTTATTACTATTATTATTGTTATTATTATTCCTGTTGTTGTTATTGTTATTATTATTGTTATTATTATTATTATTACTCCCCCGTCCAAATTTAATTTTCTAATTTTACTTTTTATGATTTTCAGTTTAACACTTTGACCATTGATATCGATATATATACATAAATGCATTTTACTTCATATAAAAAATTAATATTTCAAAGCTACAATTCAAAATAAAACTATTGATATTACTTTTGTATCGAAACACAAAGTATTTTTTTACATATCGAGTTCAAAGTTTATAAACTTTGATTAAAAAAAGTCAAATGTGAAGATTAAGGGGCTGTTTTGCAACTTCTGAATAGGTAAGTGTTGAACCAGTAAGAGGTCTGAACCATTAAGTGTTGAACCAGTAAGAGGTCTGAACCATTAAGAGCTAGTATATAGCTTAACTATTTAGAGGCAAATGTCTGATCAATTCAGGTAAAAGGTCTTAACCATTCAGACTCTGTATAATACTTAACCATTCAGAGGCAAATGTCTGAACCATTAAGTGTTGAACCATTCAGACATCTGAACCATTAAGAGGCTGAAACAAACAGCCCCTAAATATGAATGGAAGGAGTATCATTTATCTTGGTAGAATAGAAAAAATTGATGTAATGTAAAAAGTTTCTTTGTCCTCAAAATAAACTTTAGTTAAATAAAATACTTATACATTTATATATAAATAGAGATATTTAATGGTAAACATGCTATATCGGAGACCATTAAAAGTAAGTTAATAAGAAGAAAAATATGAGACAGATCAAATATATTGTTCTGAACTAATAATGAAAAACATAGTTGAGATTTTTATTTTTTTGGAACAAAAAAAGAATAAAATCTTTTTGGAACAAAAAGAGTACAACCAGTCAAATTGATTTGGAAAATAACAACTAGCATCACTCCCGTACGTTGCACGAGTCATACTTTTATTACTAAATTAAGATCATTTTTAAAGGATACAATTTCTTATCTAATACTCCCTCCGTCCCTGCAACATCTTCTCCTTTCATTTTTTCTGTCTCACAAACTCCTTCCTTTTTCTATTAAAAACTACTTCTACCCTTACTTTTTCATACCCTACCTATCACATCATACCTTTTTACTAATAATCTATCTATCACCTCTTACTTTTATCAATCACATCAAGTGTATTTTTGGAAAGTCAACACCAAAATATGTCTCTCTTAATTTTCCAAAAAGTCAATAAGGGAACTTCTTTCGGGACGGAGAGAGTAGAATATAAAGATTTTATTATTTTAAGGTATAAAAGTTAATTGTTTTACAAATAATGAAAGACTTCTTTATAAACTACATTACTCGTATAATTCTTATATATCAAACTTTTAAAACATTTATTTATTTAAAGACTTCTTCATGATTTTCTACTCCGAAAGCATGAATCTTGTTTAAGAGATATCAAGAGAGTGTAAGTCATTCAAAAAATTTGAAAGAGGCTAATTACAAAAAGTGATTGAGAATGACTGTATTTAAAGTATGAAAAAATTAAAGTATTTGATTGTTCAACATATAAAGGTATATACTATTCAATACGTTTCTATGTATTAAAGGCACACCTCTTAAAACGATGTCTTCATAAAACGTTTGGGCCTGGATCTCTTAATTGAAAGCTTATTTGGTTAGAATTATTACACGATAATAATAACTAAATACGATAATATTATTACACGGTATATTATTATTATTATTATTGTCATTATTATTATTATTATTATTATTATTATTATTATTCTTTCACGACAATTAATTAATAATGATTAAATACATTAATATTATTGCACGGTATATTAGTATTATTATTTTTTCTACACGGTAATACATGATTTATTCTTGCTACAAAGTAATTTATGATTTAATTATTATTTCTATATTCAACACTTAACATATGTGCCACCATTTTTATGTATTACTTTGACATTTTTTAATATTTAATTTCTTTTATTATTTTTTATTTTGATTTTTTAATTGTTGTTGGAACACATTTTGTACGATAAACTAAAGTCGTGTTCATTTCTGACTGGTTTTGATAATTGCCAAACCGCCGTGGATATGAAGAGTTTCGTTGAATAACTCAAGGCGTGAAGAATGGCTTGGAACAAGACCAAAAAGACTCATGGATAAGATCAAGAATTGAAGACTTAATCGAATCGGTCTTTTGTGATCAAAACCGACAATAAATTCAAGTCTCGGTTCTCAAAGAGTCAAAACAATTTTTACAAATCATAAAATATTTTGTGCATCAAAATAAATATTTTTGATGATTTTTTTTATTGTTAAAATCCCTGGTCCTTGCTCGGAACCTAAACCACCTAAGTAGGCGTTGGGCGTTCGGCTTTCGGCGTTCGATTTTTGGCGCCCGAACCAACTCCGTGGTTTTCAATATTTTAAACCCTGTTTTTACCTCTGAGCATTTTTAAAATGTTCCCAAATAATTATTTTATAAAAACCACTTTTGTATCTTGGTCAATCGGTCTAACACGTGAAAAACGGTCAAAACTATACGCACGTGATGTACAACCTTGGAGACTTGGTTTTTACCGAACAAGTCTTGTTTTCACTATTTTTATGCCATATACAATGTTTTTCAAACTTGGTTTTTACTTTTGGGAACACTTCGTTTTTGGACCTCGGTTTTTCAAAACGGGCTTCTGCTGGCTAGACTTTAGCTGGGTGATAATCGATTATCACCTTAGTGACAATCAACTATCAGCCCCTGCAGCTTTGAACTTCCAAAGTTTTGAAGCACGCAATAATCGATTATTACTTATGCAATAATCGATTATCAGTCTTTGCAGCCAAAACCCAGAATCTTCTGAGAGGACCAATAATCGATTATCACTTGTTGACAATCGATTATCTGGGTTACCGTTGTCCTCCAACGGATAGAATTTTAAATTTCTTGGACAAGGAATCTTTTGATAATCGATTATCAAGCTTGGATAATCGACTATCAGCCTGTGTCTCTGAAAAATTTGTCTTCATCCTGTTGGAAATTCTAGCAACGGATTTATCCCTTTTTGGGCTATAAAATGGCACCCAAATCCTCTCATTTTACACACAATTCTTCAACATTTCAATACTCTTTCATTGCATAAGCATTCCTATATTTTCTTAGCTATTTGAGAGCCAATTCTTGAAGAAATTGTCGTGTTCTTGAGCGTTTACTAGTTCACTCATATCTACTCTTTGTGAGAGTTTTTATTTAATTATCATTTATTTATTCAACACTTACTATATGTACCGGCGTTTCTATGTATTACTTTGACATTTCTTTTAGATTTGATTTCTTTCCGAAAAGGAAACAAATGGTTTGTACGTATTACTAAAATGGTTTGTATGATTAAAATGGTTTGTTTCTAAATTGAAAAAGGAAACAAATGGTTTGTATGATTAAAATGGTTTGTTTCTTAATTGGAAATTATATAAATTACGAAACTATTAATTTAATGCATTGACTAAAAAATGTACACCTTAACGTGATTATTACCTTTTATGGACAAATATTATTTTTAGTTCAATGGTAATCATTTTTTTATTATATGAATTCCAATTTTATAAAAAAGTTCGGTATTAGAAAAGAAGTTTATATAAATAATATTTTTATATTTTGTTTCCTTTTTAGAAATATATTAGGCATGCGAAATTTCCTGTAATTTATTATTCTAAATAAGAATAGAGTAATTAAGTAATTATGCATGCAAAATTGTTTTAAAAAGGAAACAACGTAGATCTTGTTTGCGAAATTAGTCCCTTCCTTTTTTATCAGAATTAAGTAATTATGCACGCGAAATTTCCTTAAATTTATCATTCTATTATTCTTAAAAGTATTTTCTTTTAGGAATAGAGTGATTAAGTAAATAATTACCTATTTAATTAGGCATAAATAATTACTTTTTGATAAAATAATCAAGCATAAATTATTCCAAGTAATTATAATAATAATAATAGTAATAATTAGGCGTAAATAATTACCTATTTAAAAAGGAAACAAAATATAAAAAATCTCTTGCACCGTCCCTTCCTTTTTTATCACAATCAAGTAATTAGGCAAAATTGGTTAGGAAACAAATTACTCCCTTCCTTTTTGATCAGAATAGAGTTATTATGCATGCAAAATTTTCTTTAATTTATCATTCTAAATAAGTAAAATTACACAACCAATCATAGCCGTAGATCTTGTTTGTTTTTTGATATCAATTTGGGCGGGAAAATAATTCTCATTCTTCCAAGAATAGAGTGATTTGGGATGGGAGTACAAATTTTGGGTGTCTCCGGTCTCCACTCTCTTCAAATTGAAACCCAGTCATTTCTCTATAATTCGCTACTAGCGGTTTCTTTGTATAGGTACTGTTATTCGGACTCTTATTTATTCTTACATTTCAATGTTTCCGCTGCGATTAAACTGACTGGATCTGCTATTTATCTGTTAAAAAACGTTCAAGTAAGAATGATTTGTCTCTTTGTGTTCGTTTTGGTTGTTGAATTGGGGGATTAGACCTCTTTCTTCACTTAGCGGAAACTTGGAGTACGTTTAGGGAAATATGCTCAGATCTAGAAGAGACTCTCTTAAGCAAAACAATAGAACTTGTGATTCTCGCTATGAATGGGGTTAACCTTTTGGATCTTGGGCCATGCTCAATTTTTGCTTACCTCTGTGTGTTTGTGTGTAAACTAAGGCCCTGCTCTTTTGGATTGTAATTTCAGAGTTGGATGTTGGAAGAAACCGGAAGGAGTTAGAAAATGTTGGAAGAATTTAAATGTTAAAAACTCATTCAATTAAATCATCATTCAAATAAATATGTAAGAAAACTTTAGTTTTGGATAAAAAAGAATTCACCATTTTCCGACTTTGAGCTGTCACCATTCACCATTTTCCTTGTTTGGAAGGAGTTGGAAGAAACTGGAAGGAGTTGAAAAAAGCTGGAAGTTAATTTTTCTAAACCGAAAGAACATGAGATGGAATAAGTGTACATATTCAGGGTTGCTCGTAAAAAATGCTAGCATAAGATCAGACAATGAACTATTTTCTGCTCCCCTAGCCACAGCTTTTACTGCCTCATTAGTATTTCCCTTTGCTATTGGTGTGCAGGAACAGGCTGTCAGATCGATTTTTTTAAAATCTCCTAACAGATGGATTCTTTTGGTGTTAAACTCTGGCCCCCGAGCCAAAGCACCCGACTAATGCTAGTAGAGAGAATGACCAAAAACCTTAGCACCCCTTCCATTTTGTCTAGAAAGTATGGTCCTCTGTGTAAGGAAGAGGCTGAGGAGGTTTCCAAGGAAATTGAGTCTATGGCTTTTGCATCAGCAAGCAAACACTTGGAGAATGAGCGAGGCGATGATGGAAGCTCTGCCGTGCAACTTTATGCTAAGGAATCAAGTAAGCTTATGTTAGATGTTCTTAAAAGAAACCCAAGAACTGTGGGGGATGCAGAAGGTGAAGCTAACACATCCGAGGAGACTGTTCTTGATATATCTGGAGGTCAAAGGGCTTTCATTGCCTCTGAAGAAGCTAAGAAGTTGTTGGAACCCCTGAAGAAACCCAGGAACAAATTTACAACGATTTGTTTCAGCAACAGAAGTTTTGGCTTGGATGCTGCCCGTGTTGCCGGGCCTATTCTTTCCAAACTCAAAAATCAACTGGTCAAGGTAGACCTTTCAGATTTCATCGCGGGAAGACCAGAGTCTGAAGCCCTTGAAGTAATGGAGATCTTTTCATCTGCTTTGGAAGGGTGTCAATTGAGGTATCTCAACCTGTCAAACAATGCATTGGGGGAAAAGGGTGTGAGGGCTTTCGGCGAGCTTCTGAAGTCGCAGCAGAGCTTGGAGGAGCTCTATTTGATGAATGGTGGCATCTCAGAGGAAGCAGCACAGGCAGTGTGTGAGCTCATCCCTTCAACCAAGAAACTCAGGGCTCTTCATTTTCACAACAATATGACTGGGGATGAGGGTGCATTGGCTATCTCTGAACTTGTCAAGCGTTCCTCTTTGCTGGAAAACTTTCAGTGCTCGTCCACAAGGGTGGGATCTGAAGGAGGGATTGCACTGTCAGAGGCACTTGGAGAATGCACCCACTTAAAGAAGCTTGATTTGCGAGACAACATGTTTGGCACCAAAGCTGGTGTTGGCTTGAGCATGGTACTACCAAGATTTTCTGATTTGACTGAGATCTACCTAAGTTATTTGAATCTGGATGATGAAGGGTCCATAGCCATTGCAAATGCCCTCAAGGAATCTGCTCCATCACTCCATGTTCTGGAGATGGATGGAAATGACATGACAGTGAGAGCTGCTCATGCAATCGCAAGTTGCGTGGCTGCAAAACAGTTTCTTACCAGGTTGAGCCTGGCAGAGAATGAGCTCAAGGATGATGGTGCGGTTGTTATTGCCCAGGCACTGCTGGAAGGCGGCCATGGCCAGTTGAATGAAGTGGACATGAGCATGAACTCAATCAGAAGAGCTGGGGCCAGGTCCCTTGCTCGGGCTGTTGTCAGTAAACCTGGGTTTAAGGTGCTGAATATGAACGGGAACTTCATATCCGACGAGGGTGTTGATGAGGTCAAAGAAATCTTCAAAAACTGCCCGAATCTTCTTGGGCCTCTGGATGAGAATGATCCTGAAGGGGAAGAGTCTGATGAAGACTATGATGGAGGGCTCGCCGATGATGAGAATGAGATAGGGTCTAGGCTCAACGCCCTCAAAATCACGCGCGAGGAATAGTGGCGGCATTGCAATTCTGAGCAAATCCACTCTGAGGACTTGTCTAGACTCTAGACTCGTCTCAGTTTTTTTATTATAAAAATTATCTTGTGATGATGGATCCTATGTTGCACGGAAACTCCATATAGGCTGCCGTACCCGTTTCGGACACCTTGGACACGCCGACACGCCACGGACACGCCTGGAGACGTCTCGGAAACTCCATGTGGCGTTTCCGTAATTTTAATTTTTAAAAAATAGAAAAAAATGCCAAGGAAACGGCTGGGACACACGTGTCTCTTTTGGGAAACGGCAGGGACACCTCTTTTAAAAAAATGGGGTTCTTTTTATAAATTTTAAAAGTTTAGGAACTAACTCAAATTATAAAAAGTATTATCTAGCCCTAAATCTTTATCGCTCCTTTATGTTACGCTCCTTTATGTTACGCCGCTGGTCAGTGACTTCTGGATTTTATGTTATGTATATTGAACTTATTTATGCTTTAATATGTTTTGTAATGACTAAATTATGCTATCTCTTTTGAACTTATACTTTAATATGTTTTGTAATGACTAAATTACGGTATGTCTTGTGAACTTATACTTTAATATGTTTTGAAATGACTAAAATATGTTATGTATTGTGAATTTGTTTACATAATTTTATTTATATATATATATAATTTTTATATATATATTTGGCGTTTCCCTGACGTTTCGTCTTTTCATTTTTTTCAAAATAGCCGTTTCGGCGTGTCCGTTTCATTTCGTCTCCGTCCCCGTTTCCGTTTCAATGCTACATAGGATGGATCAATGGAAATGGACGATGTTATTCGTTCCCTTTTGGCATTTGAGGTGGCGTTGGAAAGAAGAGTAAGTTTAAGGGGGAGAAAAATCGACTTGAAGTTGGGTGACAAATCTAGCAGTTCAAAACGAGGTGACTGGGTTCCGAACTATTACGAATAATGGATAAAATAGAATGTTACTCCCTATGTCTTAATTTTAAATTGTCTGTTTTGGTTTACGAGAAGGTGAATGAAATTTGATCCTCTGAATAGTAAATAGTCAATTTAATTTGAGACGGAGAGAGTATTATTTATTACCATCCTTATTAATTACTTCTTTATTGTGTTGTTACTATAATTCTTCTCTTACTTGATTTGAATTCTCTCTTGTAACCCCTATCTATAGGAATGTATCTTTCATTATTCTATAAGGAATTATTATCGAATTGTATCCACTTTTCTTCTTCACTTCTTCATATTAACTCATTCGTCTTCTTCCTTCACGCAACAGTAACATCTTTATCTATTCAATGGTGTGTGGGAAATGAACAGTGTTCTCGTCCAAATTTAGCGGCGGAATTGGGCTACTGAGATTGGGCCGAATCCTTGGGAAATGTACAAGTTGCTTTTATGGTGTGTTGGGCTGTAAAAGTTGGGCCGATTTCTTGGGAAATGTAGAAGTTTTTTTGGTGGCGTGCCTTTGGATGAGGTGCTTTAAATCAGGCATGCAATCTTACTATATACAATGCTAAGATTGCCTTTTGAACAGTGTTTCCGCCCAAAATTTGGGTATCCAATTGGAAACAGTAATGGGTCGAGTTGGTGGGCCAAGTATTGGCAAGTGGGTAGTAAGACTCTACACCCTGAAGTCTCGAGCCAACCACAAAAAAAGTGTTCTTTATGTCCAATCACATTTAATAAACTTTTTTCAGCATGGAAGGCACGTTAATCCATGGAAGGCACGTCAATCCATTGCTGGCATGTTTACTTTCCAGCTGGGGCACACTAAACATAGCACCCACAGCAGATTTGCAAATCTTTAGATTACATGTCACTCATCTTACTATATACAAAAATCAATGTACAGTACAGAGTAAAGAGAAAAATGGCGGATTGAAATGGCCAAATTCAACCAGGCCCAAAGCATATTTATATATATATATATTCATTGATTTTTGGCTTCATGGTTACGAACTAGTCATAGGTAATGGTCTAAGTTCAATCCTATGAAAAAAATAATCTAAATAATACGAGTACGTATTAAGTTACATATGCTCTCTTGAAAAATGGTAATTAAAGGAGTGTTTTCTATACGAAGATTGAGATGACATAAATATAGTACTTTAAATGCAAAAGAGTCATAATATAAATCCTAAACAAATTCAATGGTTGATTGTTCATGATGAACGTTTAAAAAATTGTCGATGCAAGAAATAAGAATCACTTATTAAACCACAAAAAAAATAAAAAAAAATGAAAAGTAAACTTAAAAATGACATGTATCATCACTTTTTTGTTCTTGGTTTCATACTCCATATTCTCATATTCTTTTTACAATGATTATCAAAAAAATATTTCTATCCATACAAATCATCCCCAAACAAGTTAAAAATTTATTTGCAAACGAAACATTCAAAGAAGCTTTTGAGTTTCGGAGATTACATTCAAAAAAAAAAGGAGAAAAAAAGGTTTTAAAAAAATACAAACAAATAAAATATTATTTCCCAAGAAGTTAACATATTTTACTATATACGGAGTATTTAAGTAAGAGGACAGAAAAAGTAAAAAAATAAAAACCCTATATATTTCAAAAGTTTGATTTTTTACTACACACCATCACCTTATATATTTTCGATCAAAAATTCAGATATTTAGTTTTAAAGAAATAGAATAAATAGTATTTAGTTGTGCGATCAAATTTGAGAAAGAGGAGTGCGGAGAAAACAAAATAATAATGAATATTACTGATTCTTAAAACGAAATTATTCAAAGAAAAGATATTTGAAATCAAAGATTCATTAAAAGATGTCTATGATATAAGGTTTAAAAATAACACAAAGAAATTAAATATTTTTCTCCAAGGAATTGTCAAATTTGAGAATGTGTGCACAAAAATATTAATTAGACCGTTTCAAAACACAATAATTGTTGACTGAAAACCAGTTAACTTAGCGCTTTATTTTTAGAAAAAAGTTGCGAGTAAAATGAAAAAAGAGTCATATCACAAGTTCTAGGCATGAATAGATGAATGGATTACCATGAACCGTTAAAACAAAAAAAAAAAACAAAAAAAAACAAAGAGATTGAAAGATCCGTAAAAATAAATTTAATGCATGTATTTAATAAAGATATTTTCCAAGTATAAGTTATATTCAAATTTATAATTTAATACGGAGTACTATGTATTATTCTACAATATATTTATTATTTTTACAATTTAACTATATATTCAATCATTCAATCATTTTAGATAAATATTTAGCATCGTGCGGGTACGATTTCTAGAAAGAGAAACAAAAACGAGAGAAACAGAGATTTGAAAATAATTAGACTAAAAGTGGAGATTTGGAAGAGAGGGGAACCCCAAATTTGACACCACTTTTCACTCCACTTTTCTTGTTGACGTTCACAAACACGAAACAATATCTAATAAAAGTGCAGTCAAATTTGGGGTTCATTTAAGGAATTAAGGGGGTTATTTCCCTGCTGGTGTAAGATACGTGCATGCCATTCCTTTATATGTTTTTTTATAGTGTGTTATCCCAAATAAAAAAAACCGGAGTTCGCTAATCTGATTCAAACCTTATTATTTTCCCAAACAGAGTAGCCTAATCTAATTCACTCATTTAATTACCAAACGGAATAGCCTACTCCGTTCCCCTATTTATTTATTTTCTTGTTGATTTTCTTAATCAAATTGTTATTTTTTGTTCCAATTTTTTTTGCTTTAAACCTATCTAACTTTTTTTATAAAAGTATTTTATGAAAAAAAAATTAAATTTTTAGTTTCTCAATTGAATTGAATAATTTTTGTTACTTATAAACTATTTATAAGAAAATAATTTAATTACAAAATAGAGGAAACATACATAAAGAAAATATAGATGTAAAAACATATACTATAAAAAAATTTAAAAATAAAACTACTTTTTATTGACTTTAAGTGATATTTATACAACGAAATAAAAAGAAGAAAAAAATACAATAAATTTATTGATAGAGTAGTACATATAAAAATTTATTCATAAAAATAAGATTACAAAACACAATCCATGACTAACTTATTTTGGGAGTTTAATAATACAGTACATAAACTCAAACACAACTTAAATTCATGACATAGCTATTCCTCGTTGCGATGTTTCCGTGGTCGATAGTCCATGTTATTCGGATAGCGGGTTCTCGTAGGTCGGCCGGTTCATGTGCTTTGTCGCGGCGTTGGTACTGTAGTCCATTCAGGCTCATTTGGAAGCGGCACTATGATGCCAGAGTAAGCGTTGATATAAGACTGAATTGAAAAAAACATTCAGAATCAAATGATCCCCGCTGACACTCTCAGTAATGACTGCACAGGATGTAAAATGTTACCCATTGACCACAACTACATGTTCGTGAACTTAAGTTCACCGTAAATGTCTCCCGCTGAGCAATGTTGGACGACCCATCCACCACCACAGAGTATATCCCTTATTGTGCGTGGTGCTGCACAACACGATAGTAAAGCCTATTTTCTTCATTTTTTCTAATATGTTTACATACATTCATAGAAATTTGTAACTGGATTGCTGCCATACATATCCATTTGTTCGCCGCTCAGCAAAAAGTTTGACCAATTTATCATAGGTGAACTTCACAATGGCATAGACGCGCAAACATTGACATCCCTTAAGGACATTATTGAAGCAATCTGACGAATTCGTGGTCATTATGCCATAACGTGCGCCACCTTCATCATGTGACAACGCCCACATGTGTGTTGGAATGGCACTAAGCCAGTTGTAAGCTTCTTGATTTTTGAGGACGTAGCTTGTTCCATGCTGATGTGAGGGGTTTTTTATCAGTTTTCGATCGCGGAGGTAATACCACTGACGATACTCTGGCATCCAGCATCCCAAATTCTATCGGTACATGTGCAGCATAACGTCCCTCCCATACATCTAAATAATATCTCTCACTATCAGCAAGCTCTATAGTGTTCGACTTAATATTATGTAGGTGTCGATCATACACAACATCGAGAGGAACGCGTTGGCGGGCACCAAACTGTCTGTAAATCCGATCCGGGTAGTACATCTCGACAACATAACCATAGATCAAAGGGATGCGTGATATCCATATTCGGAGTCTGGCTGAACAAAAGATTGGTAGGGTATCGAGATTCGTATACGGCATCCAAACAAACTACATACATATTACCTCTCCCTCGAGCAACCTATCTAACTGGTCCCTGAATGCTCGTAAGGAGTGTGTCGTACAATCTGACCACCGATGGTAACACACCCATCTACAAGTGGAGGATTAAACATTAACATGAGTAAAATAAACTAAGTGAATGCATGATAGACATAAAAAAATTGTAAATACCTGACTGCACATGGGACATTAACCAGCTGCTCCAATGGTACAATGCCCCTAGGTCTAGTCATAGGCAGATGTTCCCATGTCCAAAGCTGTAACAGGATAAGACACCCTCCAATCTGTGCTACATGTGTCATGCTAGCACGACACATACTACGATACAAGAAACTAAGAACCGCAAAACCAATGACACGACCCTGCACCACCACAAAGTCACCCATGATTACCTCCAATAGATACAAACTAACATTATTTCCCGTCGTGTTCGGAAATAAGTTACCACCCAACAACTTAAACATAATAGCTCTAGCATGTTGAAGGTAATCAACGTCTACACTATGATCTGTCAACGCCTTCGAAACAATTGCAGACATCTTAACCATAGAAGATGTAATGTCATATGCTTCAGGTATAAATCTCATCATGTCGTCACATATCTGAATCCACTGATCCTTTGATCGACCAGTGATCCCTGCCAATGGAATGCCATCTACGGGCAATCCAAGCAAAACCTCAACATCTTGCAACGTAATTCCCACCTCTCCAAAGGGAAAATGGAATGAATGATCTCGGGTCTCCATCTCTCCACTAAAGAAGTAATCAAATCCCAATCCAATTGTAATCCACCCACTTTCTCCACCTCATAAAATCCATAATATTGTAAAATCTCTATTACACAAGGTGGTCTATGACACTTTAAGATCACTTTGGCATATTCTTCGCTCGCCCATACCGGATCACACCTATTTGCTTCAAAGATTACAACATAACAATTTATTCATTTAATAACAATTCATTTGCTTCAAATATTACAACATAACAATATATTCATTTAATAAAAATCACAACAAGCATTATCAATATTGAAATAGATATTAAATTAGAAATCATCCTAAATAGGACTAAAACATAGAGAAAAGTACCAAAATAGGACTTTCATGTTTTTTTTCCGAAATAGGAATTTGCACTGTGGTAATGTGACTTTGCCTTGTTGTAATGTGGCAGTGTACATGTGCAAATACTATATTTTTTTGGTAATGTATATGACCATGCATGATAATTTAAGTTCTATTTCGAGAATAAAAACATGGAAGTCTTATTGTGGTATATTTTCCATGTTTAGTCCTACTTTGGTCTTTCTCCCATATTAAATCTATCTATGAGTAAATAAATATCTTGCAATCTCAAATGTATAAAAATTAATTATATGTTTGTCAATATTTTTAAGAAATTCTAAATCTATTATACGAACCAAATACAAATTCTTTGAAACTAATATTTTCACATGAATCAAGCTTTAAAAAAAATACCTCCATGGCTCCATACAAAACGGAGTAGCTGACTCTGATTCCTTCTTCTCGCCGGCGTCTCTCGTCGGGCTGGCCGCGTCTCTCTCCCACCCAAGCCTTAGCTGGAATTGCACTTTTTTTTTTTTTTTGGGTTCTGTGGTTGGTTCGGCAGAGGAGGGGAGGGATAAGGTTGATTTTTTTTTGGGTTGTGTGGTTCGTTCGGCAGAGAAGGGGAGGGATCAGGTTGAATTTCCGCAAGAGCATCCTAAACTTACACTAAAAAATATACCTCTCATTTGTACACCACATTGCGGGATACAAATATTTTGATGGTTTAAATCGACACAAGTGTTGATACGTTATCAAAAATTTACATAAAGATAAATGTTGGTGTGTTAACAAAAATTAGTTTTCCACCAACACAAAATGTTGGTGCAAACCTGCGAGGTACAAATTGGGGTATAAATGTTAGGATACACATAGCTTAATCCATTTCCGTATCGCTACTCCGTCCTGATTTAATTTCAAGAGGTGTGGAGTAAGCTATTCCGTCTCATTTTGGTATAATTTCAAATGAATCGGAGTATGCAACTCCGTCTGGCACTGCAATGATAATGGAGCATGCTACATGTATCCCATGCTACAAAATTATTGCAATCAATTAAAAAAAGTGAGAAAACATAATGAGTATGAGCCACATAAGATTTAAAATTCACGTACTTTGAAACAAAAATAGTTTAATACGGAGTATATGAAAATAAAAAGAAAAATTAAAATAAATGGGGCATAAATTATTCAAAGAAAAAATACAGAAATATAGACAAAATTATAAATCACAAAATTATTACTAAACGTATACTTTGAAACAAAAACAAATATGACACACAAAACAAAGAGAGACAAAAAATTTGAAATAAATAAAACTTGGATTATTTTTTATTATTTATTTTTTAATAAATGAAAAAATAGTGTTCAGTAAATTATTTTGAATAAAAACATGAAATTTCTACACTTTATTTTTTCATGCATTTTTCAACTTTTTAGACCTTCCAACTCCTTCTAGTTTCTTTCTATTACTTCAAGTTGCTTCCAACTCTTTTCAGTTTCATTCAACTTTCAGTTTCTTCTAAAATCAAACTCTGAAATTTCAATCCAAAAATATAAGGCTTTACTATTAGTCTCAATCGATAACTTTTATTTGTTTGCATGCTTTATTTTGTAAAACCTTTGATGTTGTTCATAAATGTGTGAATTTTCTGTTTTTAACTTATATTCCAATTTTTAAATATTATCTTTTAAAATTATGAGATTTTGCAAGTTTTTCAACAATGGATTACGGAGTACTCCCTCCGTCCCCCAGTTTTTGTCCACTTTCATTTTTACACATTATCCAATGCTCTTCTTTAACTTGTAATTTGTATATTAAAAAATTATAGAAATTATATATTAATAATCTATATGTTAAGACAAATCAAACAAGATCACACATGACTATATTTAGGCTTACACATTGAGAGAACTTGATGAGTCAAAGTACTTAGATGAACAATTCCAAAAGTCCAAAGTTGACAAAAACTGGAGGACGGAGGGAGTATCATTTTTTGGACGGAGGTATCGAGTATTATGTTTCCAAAAAAAATAAAAAAATAATAGCAACGATATAAAGGGGGTGTTTGTTTTTTCTGCAGGAAAAGGTCTGCAGTCTGCGGACCACTATTGTAGACATCTGCAGGAGAAGTGGTGGACCGAAGGTCTGCGGTCTGCAAGAAGAAGACTGTTTGTTTTTTAATGTCTGTAGACTGCTATATAAATTAATGGTGGTAGTGTACGGTGGTGGTGTATAGACGATTGTGGTGGTGGTGGTGAAGGGTGGTGGTGGACATTGACGGCGGTGGTGGNGTGGCGGTGGACGACGGTGGCGGTGATGGTGGACGGTGGTGATGGTGGTGGACGGTGGTGGTGGTGAAGAGAAGTAGAAGAATAAAAATGGAGAAGATGTTAGAAGACATAGGTTAATGTCTTCTTCAAGAAGATGCCAGGAAGACCTTTTTGAGTGAAATGTCTTCCAAAAACAAACAATCTGCAGAGCTCAGCATCTGTGTGCATCTGCGCGGCGCAGACAAAAGAGGCCAGAAGCTCTTCTGGCCAAAAAACAAACACCCCCAAAGTCATGTACTCCGTACTTGCTTAATTTGACCATTTTCCTTTGTTTTTTTGGGTAAAGCTTAAAGTGTCCAATTGTCCCTTTTCACACTCCACTTTTATTTTTAATATTCTTTGTACTCTTTGTTGGTCTTATGGGGGATCATCGATCACCCTTAGGGATTCGCTACTGTGCTTAGCACGGTATCGGGTATTGACAGCCCAACCTGACGAGGTACATGAGTCGTTTATCTTGCGAAGCCCCTCCTGTCCATCCACCGCTCAGTAGTGGGGCTCCGCACTGCCGTAGTGAACTATAGGGGGTGCCCTATAGGATTCGCTACTGTGCTTAGCACGGTATCAGGTATTGACAGCCCAACCTGACGAGGTACATGAGTCGTTTATCTTGCGAAGCCCCTCCTGTCCATCCACCGCTCAGTAGTGGAGCTCCGCACTGCCGTAGTGAACTATATGGGGTGCCCTATAGGAATCTACCTCGGCTTGGGGCTACCGAGAGATGTGGTTAAATACAAAGTGTCCACCTTCCAATCACCAATTGGTTTTAGGAAACATTTGGCACCTCTTTAACTTCAAAACTCCATGGTTAAACGTGCTGGAACAGGAGTAGTCCCAGGATGGGTGACCCACTTGGAAGTTTCAGAAAACGATCCTACACTCCTCTCTCCCCCACCTATCAAACATGAAGGCTAGCTAGAAATTTCAAGGGAGAAAGACCAACCGGGCAAAGTCACATTACCACAATGCAAAATCCTATTTCGGGAAAAAAACATGAAGTCTTATTTTAGTACTTTTCTCTATGTTTTAGTCCTATTTAGGATGATTTCTAGAATTCTAATTGGTAATGACTATTGAATTGTAGTTGTTGAATTTCGTTTGAATATAAAGGAACAAGTAAACAGAAATTCGAAGTTGTTTTCGATTCGATCTTGGAGCTAAAAAATTATATTTTGAAAACATTTGATATAATAAATCTTATAAAAAAATTTGTATCAATATCTAATATCATTTTTATTTAATTTGAATTCAAAGTTTATCAATTTTGACCAAAAAAAGTAAAAAATAGACAACTACTCAGAAACAGATGGAGCACTTCTGTTTTACCGGAGTATATTGTCATTTAAGATTTTTGTAAATTGTCAATTACAACTATATTTTCAAATTCATTTATCCATTCAACTGATTGAATACTCAACGTCTTTGTTACCTTTTCGTCCCAAATTAATACTCCGTACTTCATATTTACACTTGGCCTCAAATAAATACTCCATATTTACATTTGACTGTTCCAATTATTTCCAAACATAAACTAATTTTATAAAAAAAATCAATATCTCAAGACGAAATACAAAAATAAATCTTAAATTTGCTCCGTAATATTCCGTATAATATAACTAAACTCTTTTTCCCCAAATTGTAATCAAAATGCGTAAAACTTCATTAAGTCGGACATAACCGTCATGTTGGAATTTGACCGATGGAGTGCTTGTTTTTAGTTATAAATTGCAAACTATTGGCTTATTCATTGCATTCCACAAAGCACCTCAAAGCTTTTGTATTTCAAACCAACTTTCGCCCTCAAACTGAGGTATGCTTGTTTATAGCATTAGAGCTTGTCCTCCCTAACATTTTTTTTGACATAATAATTAATATTCTTATTGGAATCAGAACAGATCAGAAACATTTTTAAATATAACTACTATCATATCAGATTAGATCAAAATTTAATCAAATCAGATCAAAACCAATCGTATAAGATGAAGAGAACAAACCCTATTCCTTTTAACTAACTACACAATGCCTTCCTATCCATACACGAGTATTTAAAAATGAAGTTTCGACTCAAAAAACGTTGTGGGAACAATGAATTGGTATAACAGAAGAATACAGACCCAGTCAAAAAACAAATTAGTGTTTCCATTCCTGGGACATTTCAGTGAAACTACTAGTTCCTGTACACCCCCTTCCTCTTCTACATTAGCCAATCAGAAAGAGAAAAGAAAAGAAGAAAACAAAAGAGGCAATTTATTACCGCCACATGTCATCTTGAACAGGTCCCGTGAGCACTCTCACAAAGTGGGCCCGAGTCTCGGGTAATATACGTTGAATCAGTGGCGTGTACCTACAGAATAAGCTCTTAGCTGGCTGTGCAAAAGATGGCAAAAGTACTAATTTGTCCTTGTTTAGGAATTGGAAAGTACGTAACCCACACTTACCACTGCATGACAATAAGTTTGTCAAAGTTCTCCAGGACAAAAAGAATGCAAGCAGTTCTTAACGACGTAGCACTAAAAGCCTCGGACAACTCAAACATCATAGAGACATTTTCCACTGATATATCCTTCAAGAGATCATACAACCAAAGGGGTCAAACACAAGTCAGCAGAAAGGAGACCGGCATTTCCCACTGGGAAAAGAAAAAATTGTGAGGGATATGTGTACCCAAAAGTAAACCCAACCTGGGCAATTGTGCATTCACATAGACGTTTTAGGCCATCTAGCAGATATTGATCAGCTGCTCTTAGAAGCTCCTGAGAAATTTCCAAACTAACATCAACAGACCCCGTGTATATGTACCTGCAAGTAAGAAAAGTAATAATAGGAGATGATATCGCATCTAAGAAAACAAAGAGATGATTTTCGCTCTCTCACTTCATACAAGATTTTCACCTCATCATCAACTCAAAAACATCCCATCTGATATTTGGGATCTCAATGTCTTTGGCGTCCCTCTCCTGCAGTGTAGCAAGAAAACACATTATAAAGCATATTATTCATAGAGCCCTCCAAGTCACCGAACAAATATAATAAATGAAATTTCCGATGAATTTCAAGTTTTCACAATCTAACTCACCCTGTAACCACCATCAAACATTGCCCGAAATGCATCAGAAGAAGCAAGCAAGCAAATTCGGTGGGCATAAAACCGCTTGCCTGGTGATTTTAACACGAGAATGTCAATACAACAGCACCACAGAAATTGGCATTGAAAGAACATACAAAGATTATCAGTAATCAATATCAGTTTATACCTTCAACTAAAAATATCACATCTGAAAGTGTAGGATTATTTACAAACTTATCACCCAGATAGACCTGCATAAAACAATTAGCAATTAACAATGCAAAAAACTGAGAAACGGGAAACAGAAAAAAATATGTATAGAAAAAACCCCCCAACACTATATCAACTTAGGAAATCAGAGTAATGCTCCCACTAATGCCATTGGAGATATATTTTGTAATTCTATGAACAGATCCTTTTTTTAAGTGTATGAACATATCCCGACACATTAAACTAGACAAATAAATAACCTGGGGAACTGGAGACAGAGGAGCTGCATCAATATGAGAAAGTGAACTGGCTTCATTCGCTAATTTACGTAGGGCTGCTGAAGCATCTCTTTGGTTCTTTACAATTGTTGATTCCAGAAGCTCCAAAAGCAATTCCAGCCCTGATGTGTTGCATGTAGAGAAATATAACACTTTGCGGTGAGTGCAATATAGTTAAACTGTACCCAATCCATGTAGGAGAAAGCTTATGTGGTGTTCATAGGAAAAATGAATCATCTCACCGTTGTTATATAGAAAAATTGTCTTGTGATCCTCCGGTGATGAAAGATGAGCAAGAGCCAATGCAACACGTCGTTGGACATCAATATCTTCAACGCGCATCAAATACAACAAGTGGCTTAGAACCTGCAAAGGGCAAAAAAATAAATTGATTGGATCCAAATGTGGCACTAAGCTCAATCCTCAAAAACAACCGCAAATTAACACTCCTAGAAATTGAAATTTTCTTTAAAAAGAATCTAACTAAGAACAGTTTGCTAGCTGCTGTAAAAGATTAGTAGCCCCAAAATATGACTTACTCGCCCATGAATCTTTTCTTCTAATCTTTTCAATGTCTTTGCCACACAATCTCTAGTTGGCTACCATTACAGATGAAAGATAAAAAAACATGAGGCAGTAAAATACAAAGATATTCTAGAGATACTACAAGAATGCTTTTATTACAACAACAACAACAACAACCCAGGTGAATCCCACAGCAGTAGGGTCTGGGGAGGGTGTGTGTACGCAGACCTTGCCCCTACCGTCCCACAAAAAAACTTCCTACTTTCCCTTTTTGGATGTCCCGAATACAACTTCCTACTACAGTTCCATTCATTAAAGCGAACATGTGGCTCAAAAAAAATCTCTCGTCTAAACAAAATTCCATCCACGTATTTTTAACTTTTCACAGCTTTTCTTAAATTTTGTGCAAAAAAAAAAACTAAGAACCTTTTTATGGGACGGAGGTAGTATTTGACATTTGACAGACTCAAGAGCATTAGTTGAAGAAATAAGAGCTCATACTTGAACAATAAATTCTCCATCTTGAAGTTTTTGAACACCCCCAACTTTGACTAGATCTGCAACATTGTCCTACAAAAGAATGTCACAAGTAGTCAATAGGACTTTTTTTTAAAAAAAGTAGTTAATAGGAATAACAGGCCTATGAAATTATGGCATTGCAAATCATGCAATGGTCAAAGGTACCTCATTATCAGCAAGCCCATAGAGTGCAAATGCAGCATTGTGTTGCAGGTTTCCATTCTTTGAGTCAAGAAGTTTCAATAGTGGCACAATACCACCACTATGGGCAATACCAGCTTGATTGTGTGTATCCTAAAAATTTTAAGGGGCTAATAATTTATACAACAAATTCAAGTACAATCCCACAAAAGTAGGGGCTGGAGAGGTTGTTTGTAAGCAGAGGCTGTTTCCAAGGGACTCTTGGCTCAGATGCAAAACTAGGAACAAGAAACCCACTGATGTACAAACAAAGCCAAAAGAAGAATACAAGCCAAATCTAAGAACTAGCTATAAAGAATTTTTGTATTATGATAATGTGATACTGTATATTGATATTTTATAGTATTTTTTGGTATTATATATTGACACTATACTCGGTAACTCTTAATTTGGAAATAAAAACATGAAACTCTTATTTAGGTCTATTTAGAGTATGAGAATTTTGTCGAAGATAATTAGAAGTGTAAGACTATGATATTGAGTACGAGATAAATGTATTATTCCAACAAGTTAGAAGTCTTATTAATTACGTTTAAGAGCCGTTTTTAAAATAATCTTTTTTTAAGGATGACTTAAACAAAAAAATTACAGGGTCCAAAAGCAAAAAATCACCTATTTTACAAGGACTAAAAATATATTTAACCCTTAAATATTAAGTCAAATAGTTAATCAAATTTACCCAAGGACTGATTGGTGAGTTTTAGAGACATAATAAGATACGAGTTTTGACATATGAGAAAAATGATTTGGGTTTAAAAATCAGAAAGAAAAGTGAGGAGTAAATAGAAGTGAAATCAAAGCATAGTCACAACTATTTGGTGAGTAATTAAGAAACCAAATGCAGGTGTTAGATAAGGTTTTAAATATTGTAGTATCAGTTAAAATGTACACTAAAGGTAAAATGTAAACTAAAGTTATGCATCATATTTGTACTTGTTAATGGAATTTTAATATTATTTATTAATTTAAAATATAAAACTCATACTCTCTCCATCTCAAAATAATTTACCTATTTAGGCGTTGTTCTTTTGGTTGGAAAACTTAACTTCTAATTTTTTCCAATTCCTTCCAGTTTCTTCCAATTCTTTTGAGTTTCTTCCAATTTCTTCCAACTCCTTACAGTTTTTTCAAGCTCTTTTCAGTTTCTTCCAACGATTTTAAAAAATTATTTAAGTGCATTTTCCATTTTATTCTCACTAGCTACAATTATTATTATTATTATTATTATTATTATTATTATTATTACTATTATTATTATTATTATTACTATTATTATTATTATTATTATTATTATGCACACACGTATATCCAACTACTCTAATCCTAGATCTCAGTTTGTTCTTATCTACGGCACATAAAAGCGTACACTACTACACATAAGGCACTTTAAAAGACATGAGAAGAAAATTAGGGGTAAGGCTTAAAAGTCAAGGCATATTAAGTCCTCAACATCAATCCTCAAAACACTACTGCATCCATTAAGCTAGAGGCAGAGGCTTCTTGCTTTCAAACTCCAGAATTCTGAAAACACGTCAACATAACTACCATAACAATAAATTGCTTACAACGGTCATGGATACCTGTGCCAACCGCCCTAAGGCAAAAGCTGACATTTCCCGCAATTGAGAATCAGATGAGCTAAGCATCGCAATGAGTGGTGGAACCGCACCTCTTTGGACAATGTGCACCTATAAAATTGTCATTTAAAAACATATATTGTTACAGTCAAATATAATAAACCCCAAAATGATTTGGGAAAATAAATTGAATCAACCTTGCAGTCTGAATCTGTCGCTGCAAATTGCCCTAGAAGTAAAGCAGCTTCCCTTTGGCTCTCAGAACAGGTGGAACTGTCAAATAAAAGATGGAGATTAACTTCATTACCGATGTCACAAAATGGAGACTAAGTCCATATCCAGAGTCCTTGCAGATATAGAGTCCAGATTGGATACTAATTCCAGTGCTAATGTTGCAACACCTAAAAAGATAAACCTAATGATACCTAAGTAACCCAATGACAGGTTGTAAGGCTCCAGAAGCAAGAACTTCCTTCTTGATGTTGGGGGATGAGTGAACTAAATTGCCAATTACACCAACCTGAGACACCACCAACATGATTAGTCCAAAAGGGATAACACAAGAAACATGTGACAGGTTAACTAAAAAATAGACAACAAGCACAAGGTAAGATTGAAATGAAAATAAACAAATGGCTGACCGCTTCATAGTGTATTGCACTATCTTCAGACCGCAACATTAGAATAAGAGTGGGCAAAGCATTGCACTCCACTATCTGGAAGCAACTTTTATATATAAAACTAACAATTATGAATATCCAATATATAATTCTGCAAATCAGAAAATGACAAAAATAAAAAACCTGATTCTTGTTCTCATCATTTTTAAAGGCCAAAGTTCGTAATGCACCAGCAGCTGCTCTTTGGACTTTTGCATCAGCAAACACAAGCAATTCAACAAGAGGAGGGATGCCACCCTCAACCCTAGATGTAAAACTCAAGTGTCACAAAACATAGAGGACTAGGGTCTAGAAACTTATATTAAGAAAATTAATAGACCTAACACGACTTTTGATGCAACTATTCTCATGAGCAAGATTGGTGATTGCATCAGCAGCTCTCCTGATCACACCATTAAGAGCACGAGAATTTAGACTATCCTTATGCCTCTTTAGGATGCTAATAAGATGAGGCACAGCTCCAGCATTGACAATGAGTTGTTGATGCTCTGGCTGTCAGACAAAGAAACAGAAGAAAATTGTTATACAAGATCTGTGCACATGTACGGGAAAGTTGCAATAAATGATACTCCCTCCTCATAAAAAAATTCCTATCTGTAAAATCAATTTTTTACATTTTACTTAGATTCTAGGGGAAATCGTCAAATATAATTATACTTTTTAAAAATTATTTGTTTGTTTAACTACAATTAACATATTTAACGAGTTTGGCAGGCTTTTTTAATTAAGGACATTGCATAATATGGAAATTGGCATCTTTTGTTCAAACTGGACTCTATTTTTAGATACAATTATGGGGCAAACAGGGCTCTTCTTATGTGATGGGAGTATTAGTTACATGTAAACATGAATCAATGACAGCTTTTGATGCTACACCATGCAGCATCATAGTTACAAGCCAAGAGATAAAAAAAATTATAATAGTTGCAGTTGTAAGCTGCAGCTGGACAAGCGATCTAATGGAACTACTATGGAAGTCAGCAAGTACAGGCAGCTGCACTTCATTGAAATTTTACGACAGTAGCATCAAACTTCAAACACGGTTTTTGTATAGCTGCAGAATTGGTAGAGGTGTTCAATAAACTATTGACAATGAAGCTCAACATGACTAAAACACCCTATACTTGCTCCCCTATTTTTCAAAATTAAACCGACAAATACCTATCTTCTTGCTATAAATATCAGTAATCCATTTCTAGATCACCAAGAAATATATTCGCTGCTAGGGAATAAAAAACACTCCTTGTTATCGTAATTCACTTAAAATTTAGATGTCATTTTATTGCCTACTTAAAAGTTCGGAATGATTCGTTTACAAACTTAGATTTCTCAAAATTCCCAAGAGAATGGTATCAAATCATTCGGGCAAAACTTATCTAATTAGCGTTCTAAGAGATAGTAAGTACTTTTATGGCAAGCATCCCAAGTGTGAAAGCACTTCCCTTCTCAACCTCATGTGCATATGGGATTGGACCAGAGTCACCTTCCCTTGTCGGAGGCGGCAGCTGGAGATGCTGCACAAGAGCAGGAACAGCGCCACAGTCCACAATTACGTTCACAATTTCCTCTGCAGAAACATAGAATCCAGGTGAGAGAAAAAAACTGGATCGCGAAGAATCGAACCACAATCTCTGTGCACGTATACGGGAAAGTAAGATCCGGCAGAATTGATCAGCAAATTCAGTAACTCAGGTTACCGTTCTTCGCTAACTCGGAAAGGATTTGGATGGCGAGTTTGGAGGCAGCTCGATCTGGCTCGGTTGAAGAGAAAGACGCTCCAAGAATCTCCACTTGAGTGCGGACCTCGAGGATGATATCTTGACGAGCATCCTCGGCAGAAGGAGAGCCTACTCTCGATCGGTCTTCTTCAAACTCCTGGTCCAGCTTCCTCTTCAAGCTCTTCTTCGAACCGGAGCTTGAAGAGTGCTCGCTGCGCTTCAGGTTCTCCATGCGAGAGGGAAGATGACTGTGCATAGGAGGTAAGGATATTCAATGAGAAAATAGGGTTTTAATACTACCGGATACTTGTTTGCTTTATTGCAGTAACTGGTAAGGGAAAGAGGGAAGAAACAGAGTATTGGTTGGAGGGGATGAGGAAGAGATTCAACGGCAAGTGTGATCCCCAACTTGTTTTGGTTATGGGTTGGGTTGTGAGGGATCTGTTTTGGCGGTTCGATTTTGCATGAAAATATATAAATCGTTGGTTATTCATTTCGGTTTTAAACAGTTTTTATTTTGGGTTTTTTTATTTTTTTGGTTTTAAAAATAAAATTTATAAGCATTAAAAAGTTGAAAAAACATCAATTCAATGAAGCAATAACAATATGTATGGTTGGGTTCAGTTTTTTCGGTTTGATTTTTATACAAAACCTAAAATCGAACAAAAGGATAAAGTTTGATTCAGTTCAATTTAATATAATAAATATGTGTCGAGTGTCCTAAAAACATCTAAGAGCTTCGAAATACTTCCAAAGCCTTCGTATGTAAATATCAATTATGAAAAATGTGTGTTTTTGGTATAAAACTTTCATTTCTACTATAACATTAAAGATTTTTCATGTGAATATATAAATTAATCGTATCGATTGTTAATGTTAATATAAGTCCGTAATAGGATTAGTTATTGATGTTTATATTCCTAGGTTTTTTAAAGTTTATAATATGGTTTGAAATGTTTAATAGGTAAGAAAAATAAATTCAATCGACTGATCAACTATTTACATTTATATTTTTATACATATCATATATACTCATATAAATATAGCGAAGTACCTAAGAAAATTCGATTTATTCGGTTCAGTTTTCCAAAGTGAAAACCAAAACGGAAACCAAACACTAAGGGTTCAGTTTGGTTTTTACATTCGGTTTCGATTTTTTCGATTTGGTTTTTTTTTAGCTCATTTTGATCGGTTTTTGGTTTTCGGTTTTTCCAACCCAGTCCTATTGGTTAGAATTTAGATGCATGGTCAATAATACATGAATAATGTTATTTCCACTCCAAGTATATTTTGTCATGTCGTGGGCTTGACGGGAGTTTGATGCTAGACGAAGTGCCATGCAGGCACCCCGTAAATAGGTAGTTGCTAGAAGAAAAATATGTGTTAAAGGTCTTGAAAGGGGCGTGATGAAATAGTGATTGGAATATATTGATTGGTTGGAGAAAGAAAAATTTTAAAGAAACTCGTTGTTTTCTGATGACCGTCACCCAACAAGGGGCCACACCTTATCATAGGAAATGTGGCATAGTGGAGGAGGCAGTGTGAGTAAAAACTACAAAGAAACTCGTTTTGAACAACTTTTCCTTTTGCATCAGAGTCTAATTCTGAGCTGATCTATAAGTTTTACTCAAATCAAATGGCTTTTAGCGTTAGCTCAATTAAATTCTGAATAGGATTTCACTTTTATTTTTCTAATGTCAATGACAAGTAATGCCTCAGTAATAATTTTTTTTGAATGAAAGTACTCTTCTTTATTCATAAATCACAAGTAAATTTATACCACCATCCACTAGTACAGAATTTAGTTCCTCATATTGATTATACTAAATTGAACATGGTATTTAATAGTAGTTAAAACTTCTTCCACCTTGATCTCTTTTTGATGAAGTTTAGCATTCCTTGTTTTCCAAATATTTTAGCAAACATTCATCCAAGCAGCCAAGATTATTCCCCTTGCACGAGCTGGTTTCAGCTTCCATATATTCTCCACATCTCTTTTAGGTTACCTCCTCTGATCTCATATCTCAACCAATCGAACACCTCCTTCATTATGTTTCTGGTCAGTCTACATTAATAGAAGAGGTGATTTGCATTCTGTTCTTCATAATCAGCCAAAAGATAAATCTGTGCTTAGGGATACTACCTCCACTCTAAACCCATTTGGACCAGTAGGGAGCTTTCTTTGGTCCCAACAGCGAGCTATAGCCATTTGTATTTCATATTCTGCATCTTTGTTCATCGCAGCAAACTCCTCTCTGGTTTTAACCATCTTCATCTATTAATGGCAGTAGATTGATTGAGTATATTGTTGGAGTTGTGCCCTGATGGCCAACTGTTTATCGTTATTCTATCATGTATGGGCAGATATAATATGTTTACACATCTCATGCTAATGTAAACAAATATTATATTCCTAGATTTATATTTAAAAGATGTTTATCAGATAGTGTTTTTCTGCTGATGAGACTAACATCTTGAAATAAATATTTATCTAAATGTCCATAGTCGAGTATTAACGAGAGTGGGATATCGTTAATGCATGTGAGACTAGTGTGTGTTGGATGTTTGACTTAGTCTCATAGTCAATGACGGTGTGTTCGCATCCGCACATGGGCAGATATTATCTAGAGATAATAAGATGCCGGACTGACCCATTTTAAAGATGTTGCTTGAACTTTTAGTTCATGCTCTAAGCATCTTTAGCGCGACCACGGGTGTAACTATCCTTCGACTTGAAGTATTACGTTTTCTGCATACGTGAACCCGCATGCTTTGATGCATTGTCCTAAGCCATATGAAATAAGGATGATATACAGGCTTTGTTTTGGGTATGCCGCAGCGCGTATTCAGAAACGTAGATTACGTACATAGGATTTGTCACTACTCTTTTTAAGAGATTAATGTCTTATGGGGCCCACTGATAAGTCATGACTGAGGAAACTGCATGGCCATGCTGAGATG